TTCTGGCTTTGTTGCATAGGTCTAGTTGGAAAAATCCCTACACAATACTCAATATCTGTCAACTATGGGCACTGATCAATAGTGTGTGTGGCCAAACAACAGATGCCATATAGAGGCCCAACTAAAGCTAAAAATGCAGTTGCCTACTGAGGATTATAAGATTGAGGTTGGGTATACATTTGTGGAGGATATGATTGTGGAAAAGTAGGCATTGTTGGTGAATTTATTAATTTTTATTGTGTTAAGGCAATGTGCCTAACCATGCTAGAGAGCTCCTCCACATATTGTGATTGCTTGGTTAGCCCATGTACCAAATTGTTGAGAATTCTATGTCATTTTAGAAATAAGGTTCATGGCATTAGTTAGAGCAAGTTCTACTAAAGCACTACCAACTGCGACATCAACAAACCACCTATCTGTTAGTAAGAGACCTTCATAAAAATGTTGAACTAACTGCTAATCAAGTATTTGATAGTAAGGGCAGCTTGCACATAATTTTTTAAATCTCTCCCAATATTCATGAAATGTCTCCCTAGTCATCTGATAAATCCCACAAATATCTTTTTTAATTGCTGCTATGCGAGAGGTAGGGAAGAATTTTTCCAAGAATAATTGTGTCATTTGATCCCAAGAGGTAATGGCACCTAGTTGCAAGTAATATAACTAATCTTTTGCTACTTCATCCAATGAAAAAGGAAAAGCCCTCAATTTGATTTTCTCTTTTAAAACTCCTTGAGGCTTCATGATGGAGCAAACAGTATGAAATTCCTTCAAGTGCCTGTTCGGGTCCTTTCCTACAATACCATGAAATTTAAGTAGCAAATGTACTAAACCAGATTTCAATTCAAAACTAACATTTGTCTCTAAATTAGGATATTGAATGCACAAATTTTAATAGTGCACATTAGGAGCAGCCAAGTCTTTAATTGTCCTATTACCATTATTATTTTCAACCATGTTTTCCAACTTAACTATAGAGTCAAAATCAAATTCAGAATTACTAATAATACTATCAATCAATTCAAATAAAATTTCATAAATCACACTATCCCTATTTTTACGGTTCTCTTGATTCTGACAGTTATTACGACAAGTTCTCTCAATTTCAGTGTTCAAATCAATTAATTTATCTTGCAAAGATTTTATCATGCACTAAGAAACCAGAAAAATGATGAAAAACACCTATAACAAGTAAAGAAAAATGGGCAAAAAGTTATACTATTTAAATATTTCAAAAAAATTGGCAGAGTTAAATGAAAGTGACAACTTAACATATTTTTTCTTTTTGCCTATAATAGAAAATGGCATTTAGATTTATATGAGGAGCAGTGTATGGTATTGGGTCTACATAACTTTTCATATGTTGGCCAATATATATATATATATATAATATCAACAGTTTCATAGCATAGCTCTTGATGTCCCTCAAACAGATGATGATGTCTATATTAAATATTCATGTATTTTTTTATTTCAATATATTAAAAAAACACTAATCCCAAAATATGGACGTGTAGGATCAAAGTTCTATAGATGTAAACATGACATGATACTTTTAACATATAGAACGAGCACCACACTCCACCAAGTCCATCTAACGTGATATTTTATAAAGTGGGCTGGTCTCATTTTTGGGTGGGTTTAATTCCAAAGTTAAATGAAATAAAATATTTAAATTGAGTGACACATTATAAATTTAACAGACATAAATATTAAATCAAATAAAAAAATAGTTTATTAGGCTTGTCTAAATTGACTTAAACACCAGAAAGTGAGGTCTATAGCCTTTTTAGCCCCTTTCCTCCCATGCTTCTTTGATATGAGAAAGTTTAATTACTTTACTCTTATAAATATACACTCCCTCCGTTTAAAAATGTAAGATATTTTTTGAAGAATTAGATATTTAAAATATAAGACTTTTTTAATCTTTTGAAGTGTAATCATTACCTTTTTTTTTCTAAAAGTGTCCTTGTTGATAGTGACTTTAAGTTTATTATAGGGTGTTTAATAGGGATAAATATAGAAGATAAGGTTAGTTTAAAAATAGATAATTACTTTATTGGAGGGTGAGATTTAAATGCCTTATAATTTTGAATGGAGTGAGTAATATATTAACCAACTCAATCCAGTCAATATTTTATTCATTGAGAGAGAAAAATAATGTAACATTCTTTCCAATAAGTATTATAAATTTAAAAAATATTATTGATTGAATTCTTATTTGTGGTATTTTAAAGTACTACTTTTTCAGAAGAAGTTTGGGGGAAAAAAACCTCAAGAGAAGTATTCTTTGGTTTGGATGACTTATATTGTATGTGTTTGAAGGATTGTGCTAGAAAGAAGCACTTTGATCGTATTCTTTGGATTGTCTGACTTATGCCATGTTTGATGGATTGTGTAGTCATGTTCTTTCTTTACAATCTCCAAAATTATTAGTAATTTATCCAATTTGGTATTTTTTTTCAATAGTTTTTTTTTTTACAACCTTAGTAGGCACTACTTTAATTTTTCAAGAAGGTTGTGAATATTTCAAAAGGAAAGCAACTAATATTAGCTTGAAAAAATTCATAAAAAAATCTGATGCATTAACTGATAGAAGTTGCTAGCTGTGAGACTTGAAGGCTGAGGCAAGGAAGGGGAGTCGCAGCAAGAGTGATTGAAAGCTTGAGCAACTGAGTCTTCCGCCTTTTCTTCTAGTCTCATTCTCAAAATAAACAAGGGCAATATTGTCATTTCATAAAAAGATAATACTGAGAAGTTATAATAAACTTTAGAATAATTAGATCATTTTGTGGTTTTCATCATAAATATGCATATTTTATTATTCTTTGTTTACTCATTCTTTCCATATAGTATTAAAACATACAAGTTGAAGCCCGCAAATTTGAACAAACTAAGGCTCAAAATAATAAAAAAACAACCATTTTTGCCATAGATAAAGCATTTTTTTTCAAGAAGAATGAATTAATTTGAAGATATATAGAAAAACTAAAACTCTAGATAGCCTTAAATTCAACATTCTCCTCCCTTTTCATTATGGCATCTATTTGAAAATTAAAAGAAATAGTTTCTTGGTGAGAAATAAAATACTTATAACAGCAATAACACTTACCTATAAAAAATATATGAAGCTTATCATTTGGTCTCCTTAGTCTAAGCTAAATGAAGAGAATTCTCCATGGAAGCAAATCATAATACGTTTCCTATGCTTGTATTGTTGAATGGCAGAACAAATTCAGAGTCCAATAACATTTATAGCAAATACCATAATTTTCAACTATTGAAAGTTTCAAGCCATAATATACCTATCCAATACAATGATCTAAAATATATAGAAAAAAAAACAAAAAAACTATTAAGATACAATTTACTACGTGGAAAGAGTCATAGAACATAAGCTTAAGTACACTTGTGTTCCTAGAATCTTATAGCCTGGTCTTCACTAAGAGGATTGGGATTTCAACCAATTCTTCCAATCGCCTGCATATTTTTTAAAAATACAATCATCACAAGTTATTCAAATTATGATCCACTTAAAAATAAATAAGCCCACTGGATCATTTTATTTGTTACACTACATATAGTCTATCAAATGAAAATCTAATTGAGATTTATAAATACCTGTCAGTCTTGGAATCTCCTTTTCAATTTGCTTTTGAAAATTACCAAGTGGACATAAATCCAGTCATACATGTTAGTGAAGAATTGAAAATAAGCAGCTCTCCATGAACTTTTAAGTATTAAAGTGCCACAAACTCCCCAAAATCCAAAGAAGAATCCCAGAACAATGCTAATATAGTATCCAAAAGCTATTAGCTTATATTCTTTATTGGCACCAATGTTACGAGTAGTATTGGGATTTCGATCAAAGTCATCATTTCTTGAGCATCCTTTTGTGAGTGGCTGGCCACAAAGCCCATGGTTTCCTATGTAACTGGAAGCATCAAATGTCTGTAGTTGGGTAGCCTGTGGAATTTCTCCAGATAAGTTGTTGAAAGACACGTTCAAGAAACTCAAAAAATTCAAAGATGAGAAGCTTGTCGGAATTCCACCAGAAAGAGAGTTGCTTGACAAATCAAGTGATTCCAACATTTTCATTTGACCCATGTTTCTCGGGATGAATCCTGTCAGTTTATTTCTTGATAGATTCAAGGAAGCCAAAGCGGCAAGTGATGCTATGCTATTTGGAATTTCTCCAGTCAAGAGATTACCAGAGAGATCAATGGCTCTCATCAACCCGAGATTCCTGTCATACTTAACATATTCCCCTTTCCAATTTAACATTGCATTTTCAATGAAAAATGTTCTTCGATTTTCAGATTCTCCAACTGGATAATAAACAATGGTTTCCCGCGAAAATGTAACATTTGACAAAACACTCAAATTATTGAGGCAATAGGGTATTGTCCCAGATATATTGTTTTGTGAAAAATCTAAAATCTGAAGAAATGATAACTTGCATAAACTTGTAGGTATGTTTCCTTGAAACTTGTTTCCCTGGAGACGCAAAACAATCAAATTTGGCAAGTAATGACCAGCCCATGCTGGCAACTTTCCATGCAAATTATTCTGACCAACATCAATGAACTGCAAATATTTGGACTTCATTAATGATGGTATTTTCCCAGACAAGTTATTATTATTTAAATGGATAGTCATAATATTCTCTAAAGTACCAATTGAAGATGGTATTGTCCCTGAGAAATTATTGTTTGCCAATATCAAAACTTCTAACTCAGGAAATTGCCTCCAACAATCAGGAAGTTTTCCTGATAGCAAATTCCTTGATAGGTCCAAATAAAATAAGGAAGATTCTAATGTTGGACAAATATCAAATATGGAACCTGAAAAGATATTATTTGAGAGAATCAAGGCTGCTGCTTGTGATGAAAAGTGTGGTATGGGACCAGACAAATTATTAAAACTCAAATCCCACAAAAAGATCATCTTTGATAATAATGACTTTGGTAATTTTCCATAAATTTTGTTATTGGAAATATTCAGTATCGCAAACTCGGGAATAGCCCAATCCATTGAGGAATTGTATCTGAAATTTGACCATTAGAAATGTCTAGCTCCCTAAGCTCCCTTTGATACTTGAGCCACATTGGAAAGCCGTTGTCAAACTTGCAGGACGTTGCGAAAAATGTTTGCAATTGAAAAGGTGGCACCCATTTTGGGCTTATGTTGAATAAAATGAAATTATGGGAGACATCTAAAACTTTCAAGCTGGACAAAGTTGACAACTGTACTTCATCGACCACACCATTCAACTGATTGTCAGGCATATATAATCCCTCCAACAATGAAAATTCATGAAACTTTGGGAATGGCCCACTCAAATTATTCTGACTTATATCCAATAGTGAAAGATGAGGTAAGTGTCCAAGTGATTGAGGAATAGGCCCATAAAGACTTGTGTTTGTAAGATATAGTGACACCAAGGATGAAAATTTTGAAAAATCAGGGAATGGCCCCCTACTGAATGAATCCTCTATGTCCAATATCTCTATACTATATTGGGCACAATACAATTGTGGCATCCAATCGCTCAATGGAACAAATAAATTGTTGGCTGATAATTGCAGCACACGCAATCGACATAAAGTAGACACGGCTATTCCTATATCATTATGAAGATTAGTATAATAAAGATATAAACTTTCAAGAGAAGTGGTATATGTAAAAGCATCTGGAGCAACATGTTGTAAGGGTGTCTCTGAGAGATCTAGATTTTTAAGTGAATTCATATTTGCAAATGCACCAGTAGGAATATCTTGCAAGGAATTTCCAGAGAGATCAAGATTTACAAGGCTTTGCTAACATTAGACACCCAATACAATAATGAAGTGTCAAGGTCATTATTTGCAAGATGAAGGCTTGTGAGAGGATTGGAATAATTATTTTGGACGAAAGATTTAGGATTGACTTGAGGTAGAGAACATCCATCTAAGTAAAGCTCAGATAGAGAGGAAGATTTTGACAATGACAACTGCCAATCAATAGCTCGACTTAGATTTACCCGAGACAAATAAAGATGTCTCAAAGAAGGAAGATGTGAAATCCACTCAAGATTATTTGCAATCAAATTATAGTTTCCAGAAAGGTCAAGAGTTTCTAGATTTGATAGATTTCTTAGTTGATGAGGAATAATTCCAACAAGTTCTGCCTCTGAAAGGATCAACTCTCTTAGATGAAAATGAGCTTTTCTTGATAAAGATGATTGCCAAGTAATAGCATTACTTAGATCAACTTCAGACAAATCAAGATGCCTCAAAGAAGAAAGGTTAGAAATCCACTCAAGATCATTGACAATCAAATCATGATTATACCCAAGGTCTAGAGATTGAAGGTTAGATAGATTATACAATTCATGGGGGATAGTACCACAAAGACCAGCATCTGAAAGTATCAACTCTCTTAGTTGATTAAGAGAACCAATACATTTTGGAATTTTGTTTCCATCAAAATAGGTAAAGGTAAGGTTCAAGTGAGTTAGATGCTGCAAATCACATAGTGATGAATCAATATTACCTCCTAGATAGGCTGAATCATTTCTCGGGACATCAAGCTTCGTGACATGACCTGTTAGATTATTGCAAGAAATTCCATGCCACTGGCAACAATCAACTTCATGCTTCCATGAGGAAAGAATTCCCCAATCATCAATGAAGCCAGCTTTCAACTTGAGAAGAGCTTGCTTATCTGTTTCAACACAACTCTTGATCATGTCGGAATTTCCTGCACATAAAAAGATGCATAATGCAATCAAGAAATAGAGTTTGAAATTTGGGCTAAACATGTTGATCAACATGCTTGTGATATGTCAGATGATAAAACTGATGAATATAGGTATTATGTGTCAAGTGAAGTGCTCTTTTGGCCCTTTATAGACAAATAATTTCCAAACTTTTCCAACTACAACTTTTTCCCACTTGTTCATAACCACAGTTTAATTGATTACAATGAAGATCACTTTCATAGTTACGTTTACCATGCTTAAGGCTTCATTGTAGATTTTGGAGTCAACAGGCCATATTTATTATTGATACTAATCAATTAATGTTCGCGGAATCAAAGAACAAAAACATTTATATCTATTATTAATTAATTTGTTGGTAACTTTGTGTTGACTAAGATTTAATCCTCAATTCTTCGACTTGAGTTTTTTTTTGGTTTGGATGCTCTTGAACCAAGTCTCTTTCTAAATTATTATTAGTGGCAAGAGTAGGGGGTGTTTAATAGTTATTAATTAAAATAATTTAAATAAAATTTAGATTATATATATATATATATAAAACAATTTATTGGTAACCAATTGATTAAACAGTGATTTTGACATGCTTCCAATGTGATTCCTCTTTCTCTTGATTATGCCGTGAAATTTGAATATTTGAAGAACGTTTTCAAGGCTGTACATATTAATTATTTAATAACCAACCAGGTCTACTGTTTTCGTCGTGTTTCCCAATTTAAAAATTTATTGATATATATGAATGGAAAAGACTACCTTAACTATTTTAGCAATCTTTGACTTTTAATATACTTTGATTGATAAAAAATATTGGAAAAAAAGATTGATAGAAAGTAAGTACAACTTCCTCTATAAAAATATTCTTAATTTTAATTTTTAATTCGCATAAAAAAATTTTCTTTTAATATGAAAATCTTTTTGGATAATTCAACTATTATCTGCGGGACTTATAAGTGACAATATAATGTGCAGAATTTTAATCACATGTTAAGTCTATTATTATTTTTCATTGATTTTTCGTATTTATGGAACTATTTAACTATCGCATCATTTTCATTTACAGTTTTAATGGATTATATAATTTTATTTTCTTATAATAGATAATATTTCAAGAGAATTAATTCATAACTACCATGTATTAAACGTCCAACCGTTGAAGACACTCTTCTGTTTTCCACTCTAGCTTCAAACAAAATATAATTAATCATAATATCATTTTTGTTTGTAACTAACTTGATTAATCTTGAATGATATGCTTATAGAAGTTCTTATATTACACACAAAATTCTTATAATAGTAGAGTAAGTTATTGATATATTTTTATTTAAAATATACAAATTAAATTCAAACATATTTAAAATTTATTTCTTCATTTTGATATCATATACCTCTTATCTAACTTTTTGAGTTTAAATTTAACTGACCACATTTTTCATCCATTATATAAAATTTAGAGCAAGTCATATGTGTTAGTTTGTATTCTATGTTTTGTATTAATCTTAGTTAAATTGCAATAAAACATACTCCCTCCATTTAAAAAAGGTACGGTATTTTTAATCGAATTTCACCCTTCAATAAAGTAGTTACCTACTTTTAATTAACCTTATCTTTTCATATTTATTTTTATTAAATATGTTATTATAATAAATATAAAGTCATTCATTAATAGGGTACTTTTAGAAAAAGGTAATGATTATACTTCAAAAGACTAAAAATGCTTTATATTTTTGAACATTTAACTCTTTAAAAATACCTTATATTTTTGAACGGAGAGAGCATTAAGTAGTATATTATGCTTTTTTAATTTAAATTATATCATAGAAGGTAATATTATGTGGTAAAAAATGTTATAAACGGATAAACAATTTAAAATAAATCCTATATTTTACTTAATTAATAAATTTCATTGATATTTGCATATTAATTTTTATTAGAATGTTCAATTTGTTTTCCCAAATTACAATTTTTTTTGCTGATTTCATCGATCATTTTATGTATATTAATTATTAAGTTTTATCTTAGAATAAAATTGTGTGATAACTATTCCATATATAACTAAATATAATTTTTTTTTTAAAAAATATTAAGTTAATGCCCAGAAGAGCCATCAATACACAGGTTGGGCCCTTCGGTCCTATATTAACTAACATGTAAAGTGAAATTATTAAAATTAGTTCGATTGAAATTGTTGATATTGCCAAATAAAAAGGTTGAAATTGTTTGGTTTATTTTAATTTTTAAATTAATTTATGTAAATGATCAAAACTACCATTTAAGAGTATAATGACTAATTTAAAAATTAGGAAGAGATGATATAGTAATTGACCATTTTCAAAAAAGAAAAAGAAAATTCAAATGCGTTTCACTAAAAAAAAAATACAAAAATGAAGATAAATGACTGGTCTTATTATATATCTCCAAATATATATTTAGGGCCACAAGAATTGATATATGTTTCCTTAGTTTCCAACTTATCTTGCACTTTCTCAGAGAAAATGTTTTTCTCATTTTTATACATAAATATTTTTTTTTGTTTAAGCATAAGAAGTAGGTTTTGTCAAGTGATAAAATATCTACCCCAAGCTACTGAGAGAAATGGCTGACCCATTTTGGTAGTTTTCTATTTTATAACAAAGAAAAAGGATAGCATTCTATTATATGTTATTCAAATAACATAATAATTTAAAATATGACTAGGTTGCCAATGAGATTCACTCATCTTGAGAAAAGGGTTAATTTCTCAATCGTCTAGAGAAAAAGGATAGGTTTATATTTATATTATTCAAATAATATAACAATTAAAAATATGATGGGGTTGCCAATGAGATTCACTCCTCTAGAGAAAAGAATTAATCTCTTATGACGAATCAAACTTTATAAATCCTTGCTAGAAAAAATGCCTACAATTACTAATAACCAACCATGTATCAAACAAAAACTACCGACACAATTAAGAAAAAAAAAAAGATTCCGTTGCCTCAATTTCAATTGCAATGTACATGAGTAATTAAATAATAATAATTTGAGCCATATATTAAGTGGTAAAAATATAAATATTAGAACAAATTGATAGTTATTTTAAGAATGGTGACTAAGTCGAAGCAATGTTTTCTGGGGAAACTAAGTTTCAAACCTAAACTAAATTTCATTTTAACGAGGTAGTAAATATTGTATTCAAAATAAAAGAAAAATAATATATGCTTGGAAAAAGTAAAAAAAAAAAATGATGCGTTTGGATGGCCAAAAAATATTATTTGCATATTCATTCAAAGATATCACCCCAATTATGCATGGCTAATGATGTTGTCCCTAAATATAATGTATGCGTGTGAAGTGCGTGTAAGGCCATCACAAAAATTTGGATCCCTTTTTTTTGGCCATGAAATAAAATAACTAAATTGAGTCATGCATTATAAAGTTAAAAAAAATATAAAGTGAGTCTAAAGTGGGTTAAAAACCAAAAAGTGATATGCATCCTTGTATTAGCCCCTAGAAATATAAAATGCAATAAGCATTACTAAATTCTTTTCTTGTTACATACTCAAAAGAACACAAGAAGTGTCCTTGGTTCTTGGGTACAAGCTGATTTATGCCATATTTGACAGATTGTGTTAGATAGTGAAAAGAAAATTGATTATACTCTTATCGTCTATATATAATATATTCATCAACTACTCCCAAAGAAAAAATATCAATATATTCATTAACTCAGTGTAATCAATATTTTATTCTTTAATAAGACGAAAAAATGTAACTTTCTTTCCTATAATAGTTTAATAAATTAGAAAAATATTATTGAGTGTATTCTTTTCTATGGTATTTTAAAGTATTATTTTATTAAAAATAGAAGGGAAAAAAAATTCTTGTTAAACACAGTGTTGTTGGGTTCAGCTGACCTATCCTATATTTGAGGGATTAATGTGTTAAGAAGTGAGGTGGGGCTATATTTATTTATTTATTTATTTTTTACATCTCAAATATGTCACTCACCTGAAGTTTCGTGGTGATTAGTGGGGTTGTCACAAAAAGTTGAGAATCCTTGGAGTCAAGTCTAATTTGCCATGCATTAGCTAATTTTAGGCCAACCTCAACTATAATTTTTAATTTATATATTTATTATAAAATTTATATATATAAATGTTAGTTTCAATACTTATAATTATATATATATATATATATAACAATGAATCATGCAGCTCAATAATTTTTTCTTCGAAAAATTATATATTTATTTGGTTCTACATACTATAAACATGTGTTGCTAAAAAAAAACAGTATAATTTACTATCTACTACTACTAAACATAATAAGCACTAAAAGTGTTCTCATTTTTTTGTTTTTAAAAATAAAAAAAATTTAAAAATAATTAAATCCATATCCAAAGGAAGTTTTTAATTTTTAAATTTTTAAAATAGAAAAATAGTTTTTAAAAATTGAAACAAAACTATGGACTTGTTTGAAACTGTTTTTGTATTATTGTTCTAAAAACTATTATTTTGTAGTACATGTTTTGAGAAGAAGAAAATAAAAATAGTTGTTTTTCGCATTCAACCTTATTTTGTAGAATAATAATTTTAGAGTACCTAAAAGAAGTTTTCATTTTTCTATTCCCAAAGCAATATTTTATTTTTTTTATTCTTCAAAACACTTCTAAACATATCTTACCAAACAATATTTCTTGTTATTGTTTTGAAAAATAGGAAATCATTCCTAGAATAGGTTGCCAAACAAGCTCTATATTACTTTGTTTTTTAAAACAATAATATTATAATTAAGTGTCCTTCAATTGGTGGATGTTTAAAACATGATAGTTAATAAGGACGTTTTAAACACCCACCAATTTGGTACACTGTTCCGTTTTCCACTACTCTTTCTACAAACAAAATACAATTAATTATAATATTACTTTGTTTTTTTGAGACATATATGGTCGGATGCTACATGTAAGCGCCCCTCCCACTAGAGATTCGGTCATTGATTTACCATA